ATTAGTGCTGTTTGTTGAGGATTATGGATTACTAACACAACAGAACGAATACTATAAGTTGGTTCTCCACATCCACTACTGCAAGCAACCGTGGACTGAAAATATCTTAAAAGGACTGTATCACCCTAAACATGCAAATACTCTTTCTTGCTATTATTTCCTAAATAATATAGTCTAACAACTATTGATGGCATTTATACGGTGTTAGGTATTCTAAGTAGTCTGGAGATGCGTTAAAGTATAAATGAGGATGTGTAGGGCTATTTGCAAGTAGGATACTGTTTTATATAAGAGACTTGAGCATCTATGGATGATACACACACACACTCATGCTTGTTTTTCCTTTCCATTTGGTTCTTTTCATTTTTTACAGTGATTGCTATTAATGTTGAATGTTTATGTTTTTAAAAGTAAAATGCGATTGTTACTATTTTAAAAGGCATAATCAAATAGATTATACTTTTTTTTAATAATAGTGCTATTTCAAACTCAAGGTATGCTTCTTAAATATCTGGTGGAGAATGCCCTATTTCAGGTAAAATACCTAGGACAGACAGCCTTGTAAATTCTCATTTCTAAATTGGTAGTTTTTGTCATGGCACATTTTTTCACAGCACTCTGAATAATTAGTATTTGACATGGAAGAAAAACATCTTAAACAAGATGTTTTACTGCTATATATTCTTATACTAATTATGGGCCTAACAGAGGCCTGGATCATCAAGCCAGATTTGTACAACAGTTGGAAAGTGAACTGCTAGAAGGTTAGTTTATTACAGATACCTAAGCCAGACATGGAGAATTTCCAAGTTATTTTCATTTTTACTGGTCGGATGAATTTGTCTTATCTGTACTTCTTGCTGAATAGACTTTTTAAAAATCACTGTATGTAAGTTGTTTAAAGATAGGTTTTTTGCACATGAAGACAGTGTTGACAAGTAAATCTAATATCGATTGGATTATAGAGCATGAATATTTATGACAACTAAGCACCCTGGTATGGATTTCCTGCTGTCTCCTGCAGCACTCTGCTCTCTGGGAGATTTCAGCATGGAGGCAGAGAAAGTTTTACCGCCGATTTGTGCCTGAAACACAAGAAGAACAGACGTCTGCTGCATTAAAAAAGGACATAGGCATGTATTAAATCCCTTATGTCTTACTTTTTAATGATGCAATTGTGAATTATGTTCTTGTTGCATTTGTAATTAGCGGCTGCAGCAGATGGCGAAGACTTATTTTAAAGTGATGTGTCTATTAAAATAAGCCACACTGCCAAATGATTGTTCACTGTAACGGCATCTTTACACCCCTGAAACACTCCGATTCTTTGTTGATGTGCGGTTGATTACCACAGCTGATTACATATGTGCACATATTTGCTCAGAAATGTATCAGGAATATTTGATATGTGCAATACTTTATTTTAAAGTGTGTGCTATCACAATTATAGATAATGAAGCTGTCAATGAATTATTCAGTCATACCATCTACAAAGGGAATGCACTGATTTCCCTTTTCAATAAAGTTAGGCATGAATCTTTCTAAACTGTTGAGGCTGATTCTCCCCACACAGTGGGAGAAGCATTGAATGTGGAGTAGGGAGTTTCTGAGCATTGAAAAACTATCTTATTCACATTCCTGGAAAAAATGGGTTTTTAGGGTGAATTCAGTCAGTTGATAATGGTTTTGTCTCCAGTTAAAAGGGGGAGTGAAGGGAGAGAACTACTAGTGGCCAGGTACAAATGGGGTAGAGTATCACTGGTTTGTATGAGAAAGATTGGGCTGTGAAAACAAACAACACCTAAGTCTCACTGGCATGTGATGACAAATCATTTCTCTCTCTGGCTACGTATTCAACATGGATCATAAAGGGATTCTGCTCATTATAGTTCATTCACAAGGGACCAGGCACATGGAGGCTACATCTCAACACAGGCTTTTGCAGCCTCTTTGCCAACAGGAAAAGTATGTGGTGGCTCTCATACTAGCTTTCAAAATTTCTTTCTGGAATAGTCATATGACACTTCCATTCATATTTAATTGGCTAGAGCAAGTCATGTGACAGAATGTAACATTAAGCAGTATGAGAAATACAATGCTACGATATGCTTAGAGATATTGGTTAGCAGTTATGAACACACCATGGAGTCACTTGCTACAAGGCTCTGTGTCCCTGAGATAGTTGCCCTCCTATCTTCTATGACTACTCCATGTCTATCTTCCTAGTTCTGATATATCATCAGATTGAATCAATTATGTTCAATAATTTAAGTAAAGACTTAGAAAACTGTGCATGGCACCTGGAGGAGCAGAGAAGTTCTCTGGTTTAACAGTTCCCTAATTGTGTTGCTTTAATAGGTGTTAATGCAGAAACAAAGATTCATGGCCAACTGAATCTGAGAATCACTAGGTAAGCAAAGTTATACAATTTTCTTTTACTTTGTGAAGCCTTTAATATGTCAGTGTGAATATCTGTGAGATCACTACAGCATGCAGCAGTTCTCAGCTCCACGGAATCTCCTCTTCAGAGAGTTTCCCATGGGATGATATTCTGTGAGAATACGCTTTGGGCAATGCTCAGGTCTCTCCCACTGGTGCGTGTCCTAGTCTCTCTAAGAATAGTCTCAGAATAACTGAGAGGGTAATTCATAGAGCAGTTAATTGCTTACAGTTCTGGAGGCTAGGAGGTATGCTTGGGAAAGACTTTCTTGCTAGTGGGGACTCTGAAGAGGACTGAGGTCCCACAGGGTGTCATATGGTGAGACAGACAGAGTAAGTGTGCCAGACAGATCTTACTTTTTTTTTTTTTATTTTTTTTTAGCAAAGTTATTCTCTTGCCAACCCATTAATCCATTAATCCATGAGTGGGTTAATCCATTCATGAGTTCAGTGCCTTCGTGACCTTATTGTCTCCCAAAGGTCTCACCTACAAATACCATTAACATTTAACTTTGGGGATTACACTTACCGCACATGAATTCTGCAGGACAAACATGCCATTCCAGTGCCTGATTGTAGGTTTAGTCATCAGTTTCTGAGATAGCAAACACATCAAGGAGCTGGGAGGATGGTTCACCTGGACACAGCACGGAAGTGCCACAGCAGCCCTCAGACCCCAGGCCTTGCTCTATCTATCTCTTTCTGAGTTCTACCCTCTAAAATAAATCAGCAAGCATTAATAAGATGTTTTCCTGATTTCTATGAGCCATTCTAGAAAAGTATAAAATCTACAAAAGAGGTCACAAGAACCCTTAATCTGTAATTGATTGGTCAAAAGTACAGGTGGCCCAAGAGTTGTGATTGACATCCAAAGTAGGGGTTATTATTTGGGACTGTATCCCTTTAACCTGGTGATACTGACATAGGCCAGGAGGTAGCTAACAAGGAGGAACTGAGGTTTGCCAGCACTGCCCAGCAGCCCCGTCTAGGTTAGGGCCCTATCCATGTGGCAGCCCTGTCCATGCTGCCCAACACCCCACCCCCCAACTTCTGTGCATGACCCATATCCTCTCCTTCCATGGAGCAGAAAACTACAACTTAGGTGATTTCACAGCTTAGAACTAGCACCAGCTAAAAATATCCAATTTGGCTGCACACTGTATGCTGTGCTGGCTGCACACTGTATCCTGTGCTGACCTTATTTAGTTCATGATAATGTTGTTATAATAAAATTGCCATGACTGACATTTCCATTCCCATCATGCACCTGATGCCATGACACTTCTGAGATTTCTAAAAACAGGGCAAGGAATGGGTAGTACTCAGGCCTCACCCCAAACCCAATCCCATATGAATATTCAGTTAAGCCCCACCCAGATACCACCCTTATGCTTCCAGATCATATGAAGAGATTGCCCTAAACCATGTTGAGCTCAGCCATTTCTTGGGCTTGCCTGCATTCCTTCCTTAGCCTGTACTTTCACTTTGCAAGTAAATAAATTCTTGCTTCTCTGCTGACCTTTTTCTGAAACTCATCCTTGAATTCCTTCCTGCAATGGAGAAAAGAAGCTGGACCCAGCGACCCCCACAACAACATCTAGTACTAAATCCAGGCAGGTAAGCATCAGACCCAAACTGAATTATTGGATACCCAACTGGTGACTGGAGATTCAGAGAACTGGTGGCTGGCATGGAAACCAGTGCAGAATTGGTGACAGTTACCATCTGGAAGACAGAGAGCTTCCATAGCCACACCCTGTTCTCTAGTCCTCACCTTTTCCCTAGCCTGATGGATGTGGGAACAGAGGGGAAATTCTGTGATGGGAAAATACAAGTCTTCTTTGAAGATAAGAGTTAGCACAACAGAGCTGAGCTCAGACCAGCAGTTCCACAAGGGGAAGGATCTATGCCATCATTCCATATCTAGAACAACTATAATCCTTTTCTGCCATTAAATAGGTTGCATATATAACACATTTGGAATGAGGCACATAGGAAGCACTATGTAAGTGTTTGCTATTATTGGGCTACTAAACTAATAACAAACAAACAAAAAACCAGGTAGCTGTTTTTGTGATGAGAGTGCAGGGTTTAGGGCAGGAGGGGTGAGCAGGAACAGAGACGGAGAATCTGAAACAATTCAATGGCTTGAGCTTGGGTTTCAGAGGATGTTCCAGGAATGCTTATTTCACAGCACTGTGCTTGGAGGGGGGCAGCCCACTTCTACAAACGAGGAAAGAAAGCTGCAAGAAGCCAGTCTGAGTCCGGTTTTTAATATACAACATACAATGATGTATGTTGCTTGAACAAGGCCCGCGACACCCCAAGTGAATGGGTCCCTTGTGTCCAGTAGCTTTTGACTGCTTTACACATACTAAACACTGCACTAGGTTTATGGATTATCTCATCTGGTCCTTATAAAAACCCTGTGAGAAGCGCCTACTGTTGTTATTCCCATTTTATAGATGAGGATTTTCAGATTTGGATAAGTTAGCATATTTGTTGAAAGCCACATAGCTAATAAGAAGCAAAGCTAGTACTAGATAAACTCAGCATGTATGGCTGTGTTCTTAGCCATTCTGCCACTGTAACAATTATTCCCACATTTCTAGTGTTTTATAGCCTTTAAAGTATTTTCACAAAAACTCTACCATTTGTCTTTCATAGTAAGGGGATTGTTAGATGCTGTGTTCTCCATTTTTAGATGGAAGGAAACTAACTCTAAGAATTAATTGAATCTTCTATTAAAAACAGGCATCTTGAGCTCTTTTTCATCATTTTCTGTAGCGTATCTTGTTTCTTACCACTTTTGTTTTTCTCAAATTTGCTCTGATTTTATTCTTTCATATCTCTCTATCTTACAGTCTGAATGTATAGCATATGGACAAACAGGAAATGATTTCCTGGCATAATCACATAAAATGTCCCAAGAAGTATTAATGTAAACTGTAACGGCTGGATCTGGTCACCTCAGCCCAAAATAAATTAATGCCGATGGCACGGCATTCCGTTCAATTTCATAAACCTTCATCCAGTATAGACTATGTGTCAGGTCTTTGGGGGCAGGCAGAGTATGCTCTGAACACACACACACACACACACACATACACACACACACACCTCTCTCCCCCCATCTCTCTCATACACACCTATGCAACATGACACAAACACAGACCCCAACACCAACCAAAAACCAGAAAGAGCAAGGCCACAGTAGCCCAATCACATCCTTCTTAAAAATTCTCTCTTCACTTTTTTTTTCCAAGAAATAAAAACAGAAGGGAAGATGGGGCTGTAGGGAAATAGAACTGATAAAGGGGAACCAGAGACCATTGGAAAATGTGAAAAGGAAGGATGATGGTCCAGCGTGAACATGGTTCGCAGAGTGGAATTTTAGCTTTCCCCCACGCAGCCCATGTGTGAGGGCAGAACTGCGTGAAGCTGGCAGGGACTGCCTTCCCCACATTTCCCACGTGGATGAACGGTATCCTGAGTGTGATGGTGCGCTGCTGTCTTTTTGCTCACATTACAACGTGAACGGGAGAGGCCTGGAATTTTAGCATTTGCCACCAATTTTTATTTTATTTGAAAAACAGAGTTACAGAGAGGCAGAGGCAAAGAGAGAGAGACAGAGGTCTTCCAGCCACTGGTTCACTCCTCAGATGGCCACAATGGCTTGAGCTGTGCTAATCCAAGCCAGGAGCCAGTAGCTTCTTTCGGGTCTCCCATGTGGGTGCAGGTGGCCCAAGGCCATCTTCTCCTGCTTTCCCAGGTCACAGCAGAGCTGGATTAGAACTGGAGCAGCAGGGACTCAAACCAGCTCCTATATGGGATGCCAGCACGGCAGGTGGCCGCCTTACCTGTTAGGCCACTGTGCTGCCCCCTGCCACCAATCTTTAATGCAATGTTAAGTGGCAGCTGTTCCCTGGCCTGGGTCAGGGCAACACCTAGGAACACAGTAAAGCCAGGGTGTTCGAAAACAGAAGAGCTCAAAAGCCTTGCACTTAAGGCTCTTCAGAGTTCCGTTACCTGCATAAATCAGGTTACTCTATTGTAATAGATTGAATTATATAAAGGTTGAAAAATTCCTTAAGAAATATTATATCTGAGATCACAGTGGTCAGGTAACAGTCAGATATGTTTTGAGTTGATCGATGTAGTGAAAAAAATTTTTTGGTTTTCAATGGCTACATTGGCAGGCATGTATTCTTTAGGCATCTTCCTAGTCTGGTCTGGCACTGCTGTAAGTGGACAGCTTTCTGCAAGTTTATGATAGTTCGTTTTTAAGGGTGGAGGTCTGCGGGGGAGGTCCATAGATGTGTCCTCTCATAGCAATAGTGTTTAAAATAATAATGATTCTACCTGTGTTATTTGCAGAAATGAACAAGTGCAAATATTAAAACACACTTGTGCTTTCATCAGTGAAATCTCTGAACCCTTAATCTAACTGGGAATATCCGGGTAGACTGTAGGATCCTTCGGCTGGCCTGCATGTCTTATGTGAGTGACTTCTAAACTTTCCCTAGAGATGATAGAGAGAGTTGGCTTCTCAGCTAGCAGGGAGAAGGCAGCATAGAACTGAACCTCTATGTTGAGTTCGGTACCTTTGTTTTACTCTGGCTTGGCCAATAACATCGTGTCACCTTGAGAAAATTTGCTGATTACCCCTGATTTGGGTTCCTTCATCTGGAAAATGTGGACATCGGAGAAATGATCTCCAAGGTCCTTTCTAGCTTTAAAACTCTATGACGCTAAGAATATGGTTCACCCATCAGTGAAGAATCACTGAGCCAACCTTGGCTATTGCTTCATGCCAATTAATCTCTTTCCTCCCTTTAGTGGAAAATGATTAGAAAAAATGATTTCATATTATAAATCACAAATAGCTTCCTTGCAACTCCTCCTCTGCTGCATTATAAAAGCCAAGTGGCCAAAATCCGTTTCTCTCTGAGACAGGTGGTAAAAACCAAATACGTTGAAATCTTCGCTAAAGTTAACTCCGGAGACAGGAGGTTGCTCCTGAGTCACCTGCGTCAGCTCATCGCTAAGAGGCTCGGGAGCACAAAGAGGAGGTGGGTTTGAGAAATTTCTTTCACTTTGCAATACTTTTCAAAGCAGCCCTGCTGGGAAATCACTTTGATCAGCAGAAAAAAAAAAAAAGATCGTTTTTGGCTATTCTTGTATCGTGGTGCTCCGGTGTCTGTGAGAATGAGAGTCACTTGCTGCATACAACCGCTGTCTGCGTTACCCTTGCTGTTTTTGTCTATCCTCTGTCTCCTCCCTTCCCCCTGTACTTATTTCCCATTCACTGAAGCTCTGAACTTGATTCTGCTTGGTTGTCCCCTCAGCTGGGTCTGGTCCATTCTCAAACAGTCCCAACTTCCTTGGGGTTTAGGTTGCTTTTGATATGGTGGCATGAATTAATTACAAAATACACACTTCCATGATTTTCTTCTCTGGCAAAAGGGTCAGGTCAGACACAAAATAAATTTATCCATGTGTGTTTCTCAGTGATCTCAGAATCCTGTTTTCCAGATGACCATGGAAATAATTAGAGGAGTCCAACAAGATTTCTTTCTTTCTCTCTTAGAAAGTCTGAGTTACAAAGAGGCAGAGAGAGAGAGAGAGAGAGAGAGAGAGAAGAGAGGCTTTCCATCTGCTGGTTCACTTCCCAGATGGCTGCAATGGCCAGAACTGCACCCATCCGAAGCCAGGAGCCAGGAGTTTCCTCCAGGTCTTCCAGCTGGGTGCAGGGGCCCAAGGACTTGGGCCATCTTCTACTTCTTCCCCAGGCTATAGCAGAGAGAGCTGGATTCGAAGTGGAGCAGCCAGGACTTGAACCGCCGCCCATAGGAATTGCCAGCACTACAGACAGTGGCTTTACCTGCTATGACACTGTGCTGGCCTCCCAACAGGATTTCTTTGCTCTACCTGTGGCAATTACATGTTCTTGATTTTTTCCCAAATTCTCAAATTAATAGAATTTTTATTCTTACCCAGAAAGGTGATAGATGATTAGATGTGAAATAAAGAGAATTTGATTTTATATCATTAGATGTTTTACTAAGTGATACTTTTTATAATAGTTTGTAAATAGGAAACATTCCTCTGTCAGACTGCTCCCCTGGCTCCTGGTTTCAGAAAAGGGAGTCCCAGTGGCTATAAGCCTATGTCCAAATAGCTTACAAGGGTGACTGAAATGGAGTTAAAAGAAAAAAATCAAAAAGTGTTGTGTGTAACAATATGGCTTATGTGCCTCTTTCAGAGCCAAACCAAAACCAACAGTGACAATGGAATCACCAGGGTTTCCTTCTCACATTTGGATTAGTGGCTGGAATTAATTGGATTAACTTGTTTCTCTGTGTCCTTGCTCTACCCATGTGGGCACAGGCACACAGGCAAAGTGTTTGTTGGTTTATTATAAGCACAGGCAATGCTCAGTGATGGAGACGGAGACAGTAGAGATCCCAGAAGAGAGGTGAGGAATGTGTGGGGTGGCCTGTGGGGTGGCACATGCGAAGCACTAATGAAGACATGGTCCAAAAGCCACGGCCAGATTAAGAGGAATGGGTAGCCACTCAGGGGGAGTTGGTTAGGTTTCTATAATCAAGTATGGTAGAACTTTCTGGAAAGATTTCTTCTTGTTTCCACTTGAATCAGGCTTTGGAAGAAGAAGCAAGACTGCCTGGCAGAGTTGTGGAGACATGGTCAAGGGAGATGGGGTGAGGCCCAGTGGCAGCTGGTTTGGCATAGCTAAGTGGAGAAGAGCTCGCTTCCTGGAGGAGGTCAGGGCATTCAAGGATGGCTTGGAAGAGGAGAGGGGGAGGACAAAACCCTGTAAAGGAGAGGGACTTGAGGAACTGAAATTTAAGACCAAGTTAAGGACTGGCTAACTTACCTTGCTGGTAAAAACATGAAGGAAAGTTGGGAGAAGGTGGGCAAGATCACTCCCAGGTCCGAGGAAAGTCAACAGCTGCTGAAATTGGACGCACATTCATTCTGTTCTATTGCTTGTACTGAGTGTGGTTCTGGGTGGACAGGCTCTTAGATCTTAATACCTTCTCCCTTTCTCACTTCTTTTACCAAACTCTCCTCAGGGTTTAGAGCTGGCAGCCAGAGGTCAGTCCTCACTTTTGGTGGCAGGTCAGAAACGGGGAGGGTAACGGGTTCTCCTTCTACTGTGACATTTCCCTGAGGACTGTCCAACTTCAGCAGACAGATTGACCTGAAGTCAACTGGTGGTCCCAGGGGTACATCTGCCTGCACTAACTTGGGAAGACTTCCATTGTGACCAAAAAGCCAAGTCCCATTCCTGAATCAAGTCATCTGAGCCTCCCCCAAGGGTGTGTTTCACTTGCACTGACACAGGGACAGTAGACAGGTCTGTGGAGTAGAAGATGGGGCTGGAGGAAAACATGGAAGCCTGGGAATGTGTAGTTTCTCTAAGCACCTCCCTCCCTGTTCTTAATAACACCCTACCAGTCCAGTCCATCTTCTTTGGAAAACAGTGTGGTGTTCACCATCCTCTATGCTCTGTGGCAACTGGGAAGTCACGCCTTGTGCAGGCCAGTTAGAATCAAATGGAATTCCTTTGAAATCTCTGGATGAAATGTGTACATATCTCAGTTGTTAACCTACATTTAATTGATGTGCCATCTTCATTTCTAATTAGAACTGTCTGGTTGAGAGGTACAGATAACATCAACACGTATTCTTTAATGCTGTTGGAGCTAGTGGCAAGGTGTACCCTCTATCCTACTTTATAGGTGGGTTTTAAAATTCAAACTCTAAATGTGAATTACCTTTCCATCTGATTCCTCCAGTGAAGGTTATTGTTATGCTAATGCAAATGTATGTCTTCCCAGACCTTATAAGTATATAAATCTCATGTTCTTTTGAACAAATTGGGTGGTTAATCCTTTAATCAGTTATCCCAAGATTGCTACAAGCACAAAAGGAAGGTTGGACTTCTAAGCTCAGCAGTTTGAAGGTCATCATTGTTATTCATTTGCTTTCGCCTTTGTTTTTTTCCTTTGGTTTTCTTTCACTCAATAGGAAAGTTAGCTTAGTCCTACAGCAAGCATTTTCCTTTGAAAGTGGAAGGTGGGAGCCTGGGAGGAGAGCTTCTAGTGATCTAGACCATAGATCATGCTGCTTATTGGAGCAGTGTCTCTCCCCCTGCTCCGTTTCTGTCCCTCTCTCTCCTTTGCTTCCCTTCTTACTTATTTTCTGGGCACAGATATCTATCTTCAGCAGACTGTTTTGTCATGCAGCTTTTCTGTTTTTGCAACAAAGGATTTATAAAGATTTTGTGGATAACCTTTCCTTAGCATAAGTAAATTGTTTTTCCTTGAGCTGCCCCTGGAACTTTTTGTTGAAACTCATCTATTGCTCAGAAATAATAGACAGGTGAAATTCAAACACAGTATCATCTATTGACAGCTGTTTCTGACTGTCACAGGAAGAGGAGGTTTAAGTTCATGTGAGCTGTTACTGCTGATGGTACAAGTACAAAGGCACAATTTGTTTGCAGGTCTTCTCTGTGCAGGGAGGACTTGGCGTGAACTCTCTCCTGTTGGGCTGATTTGCACCTATGGCTCGTCATGGTCCTGGACTCTGTCCTACCTCATTTCTGCAGAATGTGCTGAACTGATTTACATTTACATGGACTGTGCAGCACTACCTGACAAAAGGCATATCATTTTAAAACTTCCCTTCTACCCAGGCCTCATTCCATGGAGCTGAGAAAGGGCCTTTTGAGGCATTTTTATCCAATGCAGTTGCATGTAGAAATGATATCAAGGTGGTGTGCTTGGTGGTGTCTACTTGGACAATGGTATTGGTGGGCATGGTTGCTGGTGTCCACTCAAACAGATGAAAACAAACTGCAGGCATTGCAGGAAATGGTAGAAATTGAGGTCCTGATCTTTGAAGAAGAAAAAAAATCTCTGTAAAGTTTTTTTTCCATGGAGTAAAATCAGGGTTCATATCAGAATCTAAAATGCCTGTAGAAGTCACAGACAAATAATTTTGAGATCTTGGTGTTCTCAATCATTTTAAATTTCTGTTGTTTTTTAAAAAGATTTTATTTTATTTGAAAGGCAGAGCTGGGGGGATGGAGAGACAGGGGGAGAGACACAGGGAGAGAAAGAGGGAGAGGGAGAGGGAAAGACAGAGGGAGAGGAAGAAAGAGGGCGGGTGGGGGAGAGATCTTCCATCTGCTGGTTCATTCCCCAAATGGATGTAATGGCTGGAGCTGGACCAGTCCGAAGCCAGGAGCCAGGAGATTCATCCGGGTCTCCTGTGTGGATGCAGGAGCCCAAGTATTTGGGCCACCCTCTCTGCCTTCCCAGGCACATTAGCTGGGAGCTGCATTGGAAGTGAAGCAGCTGAGACTCAAATCAGCACCCATACAGGATGCCAGCACTGTAGGCGGTGGCTTTACCTGCTATGCCACAATGCTGGCCCCATTTCTGTCCTTTTAAAATATTTATTATCTAGAATAATAATAATATCTAAAATGTTATTATCTAGAATGTATCTCAAACCTGAACACCTCACCTGATGTTCTCCAGTCAGCCTTGTCTTGCACATTGGGCCACCTGATGTGCTATAGGATTCATGTGGAGGAGATACAGGTGTTTATAACACTGTGTGCTGGGCTTCTCAAGGTCATAACTAAAGAAGATTGTTTGAAAAGCAAAAATAGATGTTCTCCACATTGAATCATTAAGTCACTTTCTTAAGAATTCAGACCTATGGGTCCGGTGCTGTGGCATAGAGAGTAAAGCCGCTGCCTGCGGTGCTAGCATCCCGTATGGGTGCCAGTTCAAGACCTGGCTGCTCCTCTTCCGATCTAGCTCTCTGATGTGGCCTGGGAAAGCAGTAGAGGGTGGTCCAAGGCCTTGGGCCCCTGCACCCACATGGGAGACCCGGAAGAGGATCCTGGCTCCTGGCTTCGGATCAACGCAGCTCCGGCTGTTGTGGCCAATTAGGGAGTGAACCAGCAGATGGAGGACCTCTCTCTCTCTCTCTCTCTCTCTCTCTCTCTCTCTGCCTCTCTGCCTCTCTT